TACATCCAGCTTGTCCATCTGGAAGCTCTCGGTTCATACCCTGTTGAAGTCTAGCTTGGATTTTGAGCATTATCTTGCTAGCATGTGAAATGAGCAAAATTGCATGGTAGTTTGAACATTCTCTGTAATTGCCTTTCTTTGGGATTAGAATGAAAACTGACCTTTTCCAGTTCCGTGACCACTGCTGAGTTTTCCAAATTTGCTGGCATATTGAATGTAGCACGTTAACAGCATCATATTTTAGGATTTGCAATAGCTCATCTGGAATTCTATCACTTCCACTAGCTTTGTTTATAGTGATGCTTCCTAAGGCCCACTTAACTTCACATTCCAGGATGTCTGGTTCTAGGTGAGTTTTCATACCATCATTATCATCTGGGTCATTAAGATCTTTTTTATATAGCTCTTCTGTGTATTCTTGCCATCTCTTCTTAATCTGTTTTGCTTCTGTTAGGTCCATATTATTTCTGTCCTTTATTGTGCCCATTTTTGCATGAAATGTTCCCTTGGTATCTCTAATTTTCTTGAAGTGATCTCTAGTCTTTCCTATTCTATTGCTTTCTTCAATTTCTTTGCATTGTTCACTTAAGAAGGCTTTCTTATTTCTCCCTGCTATTCTCTGGAACTCTGCATTTGATTGGGTATATTGTTCCCTTTCTCATTTACCTTTCCTTTCTCTTTTTTTCTCAGTTATTTGTAAGACCTAGTCAGACAACCATTTTGCCTTGCTGCATTTCTTTTTCCTAGGGACAGTTTGGTCACTGCTTCCTGTACAGTGTTACAAACCTCTCTCCATAGTTCTTCAGGCACTTTGTCTACCAGATCTCTCCACTGAATCTATTTGTCACCTCTACCTTATAATCATAAAGGAATTGATTTAGGTTATACCTGAATGGTCTAGTGGTTTTCCCTACTTTCTGCAATTTAAGCCCATATTTTGCAATAAAGAGCTTATGATCTGAGCCAGTCAACTCCCAGTCTTGTTTTTTACTGACTGTACAGAGCTTCTCCATGTTCAGCTGCAAAGAATATAATCAATATGATTTCATTATTGACCATCTGGTGATGTCCATGTGTAGAGTTGTCTCTTGTGTTGTTGGAAGATGGTGTCTGCTATGACCAGTGTGTTCTCTTGGCAAAACTCTGTTAAACTTTGCCCTGCTTAATTTTGTTCTCCAAGGCCAAACTTGCCTATTAGTCCAGGTATCTCTTGACTTCCTACTTTTGCTTTTCAATCCCCTATGATGAGAACATTTTCTTTTGGTGTTAGAAGGTCTTGTAGATCTTCTTGAACCATTCAGCTTCAGCTTCTTTGGTATTAGTGGTCGGGGAATAGACTTGGATTACTATGATATTGAATAGTTTGCCTTGGAAATGAACCTGGGTCATTCTGTTGTTTTTGAGATTGCATCCAATTGCATTTCATACTCTTTTGTTGACTATGTGTGCTACACCATTTCTTCTAAGGGATTCTTGCCCACAGCAGTAGATATAATGGTCATCTGAATTAAATTTGCCCATTCCCATCCATCAAGTTCATGATTCTAAAATGTTGATGTTCACTCTTGCCATCTCCTGTTTGACCATGTCCAGTTTACCTTTATTCATGGACCTAACATTCCAGGTTCCAGTGCAATATTGTTCTTTATGGCATCACACTTTACTTTCACTACCAGACACATCTACAGATGAGCGTCATTTCTGCTTTGGCCTAGCGTCTTCATTCTTTCTGGACCTATTTCTCTGCTCTTCCCCAGTAGCATATTGGACACCTAGTGACCTGGGGAGCTCATCTTCCAGTGTCATATCTTTTTGCCTTTTCATACTGTTCATAGGGTTCTCGAGGCAAGAAGAGCTTCCCTTGTGGCTCAATTGGTAAAGAATCTGCCTGCAATGCAGGAGACCTGGTTCAATTCCTGGGTTGGGAAGGTCCCCTGGAGAAGGGAAAGTCTACCCACTCCAGCATTCTGGCCTGGAGAATTCCATGGATACAGTCCATGGGGTCGCAAAGAGTCAGACATGACTGAGTGACTTTCACTTTTACTTTCAAGGCAAGAATACTGAAGTGGACCACGTTTTGTCAGAACTCTCCAAGACCCATCTGTCTTGGGTAGCCCGCACGATATGGTTCATAACTTCACCATGTGATCATTTTGGTTAGTTTTCTGTGATTGTGGTTTTCGTTCTGGAGGCTGGGGGATTGTAGTTCTTGCTTCTTCTGTCTGCATGAGGATAAGAGACTTGTGCAAGCTTCTTGATGGGAGGAATTGTCTCTGGGGAAAACTGGATCTTACTCTGGTTGTCAGGGTCATGCTCAGTAAAACTTTAATCCAATTTTCTGCTGACAAGTGGGACTGTGCTCCCTCACTGTAGTTTGGTCTGGGGTGACCCAGTCCTGGAGTCTACAGGCTCTATGGTAGGGCTAAAGGCGACTTCCAAAAGGACTTAGGCCAACAAGCACGTGCCTTCCAGGACTGCTGCTGCCAGCGCCCCTGACCCCATGACAGTCCACTGCTGACCCACACCTCCACAGGAGACTCCCAAATACTCACAGGCAGGTCTGGCTCAGTCTCTTGTGGGGTCATTGCTCCTTTCCCCTGGGTTCTGGTTTGTACAAGGTATTTGTTTTTTTTTTTTTTTGTACAAGGTTTTGTTTGTGCCCTCCAAGCCTATTTCCCCCAGTCCTGTGGAAGTTCTTTAACTAAATCCTTCTGTCCTTCAAAGTCTAATTTCCCGGGGATTCCTAGTCACTTTGCCGACTCCCAGGTTAGGAAGTTTGAATCAGGGCCTAGAATCTTCACAACAGTGAAAGAACTTCTTTGGAATTATTGTTCTCCAGTTTGTGTGTCACCCACTTAGTGGGTATGGGGCTTGTATTTAACGTGATTGGGGCCCTCCTACAATCTCGTTGCAGCTTCTCCTTTGTCCCTGGACACGGGGTATATATATGTATATATATATTTTTTTATGGGGTATATTTTTTTGTGGGCTCCAACATCCTTTTGTTGATGGTTGTTCAGCAGGTAGTTGCCATCTTGGTGTTCTTGCAGGAAAAGATGAGTGCACGTCCTTTTATTCCACCATCTTATGTATATGGTACATTTAGGTAGTGACAATTTGATGTCCTGCTTCTTGAAGGTCTGTAACAGTCTAAAACAACAGAAATTCATTTCTCACAGTTATAGAGGCTAGACAAGTCCAAGATCAAGTTCCAGCATGGTTGCATTCTGGAAGATATCTCTTCCTGGTTCATAGCAAGCACCTCATTTCATCTGAAACTTTGTCAGAATGGCCTTTATCAATATTTTTACCAACATTCTGTTCATGACCACTTAGGTATTCTCTAAGAAGACTGAGGCTTTCTATACAGCCCTCATCTTTTCCTTCTGGTCAGTTCAGTAGAATTGCCTTTGAATGTCTGTTCACAGCAATGCAGGCTTTTTCTTCTAGTCTGCACCTCCAAACTCTTCCAGTCTTTACTTATCTCCTAGTTCCAAAGCCACTTCCATATTTTGAAGCATTTGTAATCAAGATTTATTTCTCACAATTCTGGAAGCTGGAAGTCCAAGATCAGGTTTTGGTGAAAGCCCTCTTCCAGGTTGCAGACTGCTGACTTCTCACTGTAATCTCAGATGGCTGAAGGGGTTAGAAATGTTTGCAGGGTCTCTTTTATAAGGACACTAGTTCCACACATGAAGGCTCCACTCTCATAACCTAATCCCTTCCCAAATGCCGTCAAAGACCATCACCTTTAGGAGTCAGGATTTTAACATGTAAACTTGGAAGAGACACAGTCAAACTACAGCAATAACATTAAACAAGATATTGAGTTTGTCTCAATTATGTAAATCCATCTATAAATAATTTCTGCCCTGCTTTATACTTTCCTATACTTTGAACATTTCTACAGCAGGAAACTTGTATATTGGGGTTGAGGGGAGGTCAACAAAATAATTTGGAAAAGGGTAAAGGAATCTAGAATAGTGATAGGGGTTTGTAAAAGCAGAGCTCATTGAAGACAGATTCCAATAATCTGCCTAGTAGAAAGGGTGGGGACAATGGGAGAAGATTCCACTCCACTCCCATGGGAGTGGGAGAAAGCCTTCACTTCTTTTTTTAAAATTAATTAATTTGTTTTAATTGGAGGATAATTTCTTTACAATATTGTGTTGGTTTTTGCCATACATCGACATGTATCACCCACGGGTGCACATGTGTCCTTCCATCCTGAACCCCCTTACCACCTCCCTCCCCACCCCACCCCTCTGAGCTGTCCCAGAGCACCAACTTTGAATGCCCTGCTTCATGCATTGAACTTGCACTGGTCATCTACTTTACATATGGTAATATACAGGTTTCAATGCTATTCTCTCAAATCATCCCACCCTCACCTTCTCCCACATAGTCTCAAAGTCTGTTCTTTATATCTGTGTCTCTTTTGCTGCCTTGCACATAGTATCATTGTTACCATCTTTCTAAATTGCATATATATGTATTAATATACTGTATTGGTGTTTTTCTTTCTGACTTACTTTACTCTGTATAATAGGTTCCAGGTTCATCCATCTCATTAGAACTGACTCAAATGCATTCTTTTTTATATCTGAATAATATTCCATTGTGTACCACAACTTCCTCATCCATTCATCTGCCGATGGACATCTAGGTTGCTTCCATGTCCTAGCTATTGTAAACAGTGCTGCAATGAACATTTGGGTGCCTGTGTGTCTTTCAAGTCTGGTTTCCTTGGTGTATATGCCCAGCATTGGGATTGCTGGGTCATACAAGCCTTCACTTCTTGTCCTGTTCCCCTCCTGGGACCAGGAGGAGGTAAGATATAAGAAGATCATAGATGAGACCATGGCCCAGCTACAAGACCTGAAGTATCATCACCTAGCCAAGAAGTCAGAGGTGAACGGCAAGAACCATGAGATGGAGGAGATTCTTAAGAAACTGGAGGGGCACCAGCAACTGAGTACGGGTCTTGGCTTGGGGGAAGTATGCAGTATGGGCAGCTTGCCGGATTTGGATCTCACCTATCCCCCTGGATCTTCTTCGGAAATGACCCATTTACAGAAGCAGGTGACAGCATTGAGACCAAGCTTGAACAGAAGTGCAGTGGCTGCCACAACCTGCTACAGGCCTGCAAGATGCAGGACATCAAGATGCCACTGTCTAAGGGCACCATGGATGATATTAGTCAGGAAGAGGTGAGCATCATAGCTGGTGGTGGGTGTGGGCTGTGAACAACATAACCAGGGATGGGGGATGAAGGTCGCCAGGGAGGGCAGGTTAGAGAGAGAAGGATGGTGGGTGAGGGTGGTGAGTGACAAAAGGAGGGATGCAGATGAGATGAAGCAGGGTGAGGCTGTGAAGACAGGTGAGGTGAAAGGTAATAGCCTTGATGTGAGAGGGCAGTTTGGGGGGTAGGGTGTATATCAGTAGGTGGAGAAAGAGGTAAGCTAGTAGAAGAGGAAATCATTCATTAACCTCAGGGACTTGAGCTAAAATAGTTCCAGCAGGTAATGGATACTGGTTGTTGTTGATCAGTCACTCAGTCATGTCCGAATCTTTGCAACCCTATGGGCTGCAGCACGTCAGGCTTCGCTGTCCTTCACTATCTCCCAGAGTTTGCTCAAATTCATGTCTATTGAGTTGGTGATGCTATCTAACCATCTCATCCCAAGAGCAAAGGAAGATGGAAGCTGAGGGTCCTGAGGGATGGTAACTTAGCTGCAGTGAGAGAGGTTGGTCAGGAGAGGGTTGGGTAAAGGACAGCAGCAACGCAAAGGTGATGAAGCATAGTTATGGGAAAGGGAAAGACATGAGCCAATAGAATAGCCAAGGCATTTTATCCACTGGAAGTGAAGCTTGATAGCAAGGGGGCAGGACTGTTAACTGAGAGAGGAGGTCTGCAGATATCTTGTCTTTGACCTGAACATGTATCTCAATTCTGCATGTGTTTCTCCCCCCATTCTTCCCAAATAGCATTTCCATTTAACTCAGCAAAATCTTCTGAACACTAGCAGTGTGCCAGGCATCATGGTAGCACATGCTATAACCACTCCTAATCTTAAGCACAGCCTTGCCAGGCAGGCATGGTCCCACATTACAGATGAGGGTTTGTGGGTTTAAATGAGGATTCGAGCAACAGCATGTCTTGCCCAGGGTCACAACATTAGTCAGTGTCTGTTGAACTCAGGTCTTTCTGCCATCAAAACTGCTCTTTCTTCTGCCACAAGTGCTTTCTATCGAGATGCTTCTCAAAGACACTGAAGGCTGAAAAGAACCCCCCCTCTCCAGCCCCCTCTAGAGGAGTACTCTTATGGCCAGTCAGCTGCATCTGACTCTCCCTCTCACTATTGCAGGGTAGCTCCCAAGGGGAGGATTCAGTGAGTGGTTCCCAACAGACTTCCAATATCTGTGCAGGAGAGGCCCTCATGGTGATTGACTATGGTAACCTTTGTGAGGATCTGAAGGTGAGGTTCAACCTTGGGTGGTGGGGCCATCCTCCCAGCTGTCCAGAGAGAGGGTCAGCCCATCTGGGGGCCCTATGGAGACAGACCATGCCTGGAAAGAAGGGCAAACTGGCAAGGGGGGTGGAGTTGTGATTTAGGTGCTCCCCTCATATGCACACACAGACACAGGCATATCTTCTACCCCCCACTCCCAGCTGCTCCCATCCCTGCCTGTTACCAGTCTTCCCCTTCCACCTGTGTACACAACTCAGTCTAGATACATGGAGAACAAGCTCCTGTACAGTGAACAGATAAACTCTGGAGGTTCCTCAGGGCTCTGTCCCAGGCATCCTTTCCTTATGTGGGGTTCTCATCCTTCGTATCTCCTCTCCTAGGACTTCAGCTGCTATCTCTATATGTTAGGTCCCACAGGTACCTCAAACCCCAGCCTTCCTCCCCAAATCTGCCTCTTCAGTGTCCTTGACTCGCTCTCTCTCAGTTTGCATGTATAATGAATTAGCAAACCCTGTCAATTCTACCTTCCAAATGTCTACTGAATTCTACTTTTCCCTGTTTCCACTCTATTGCAGACTGCTTTCATCTGTCACATGGACTACTACAGGAGCCCCTTAAATAGTTTCTAATGCTTTCCAAACTATCGTTATAGCCAGAGGAACTTGATATTTTTTAAAAAACTTTTTCTTATGAAAAATTTCAAACAGATACAGAAGTATAGAGACTGATATAATGAACCCCAGGTACCCATCATCCAGCTTCAACAATTAGCAACATATGATCAATCTCATTTCTTATACTGTTCCCTCTTCCCATTGGCATATCTTAAATAAAATTCTAGATATTACTTCATTCATAATTATCTCAGCATATATCTCTAGAATAGAAAGACTACCCCCCAAATAAGGACTCATTAATATCACCTCAGTCAGTCAGTCAATCAGTTCAGTCACTCAGTCGTGTCCAACTCTTTGCGACCCCATGAATCACAGCACGCCAGGCCTCCCTGTCCATCACCAACTCCCAGAGTTTTCCCAAACTCACGTCCATCGAGTCGGTGATGCCATCCAGTCATCTCATCCTCTGTCGTCCCCTTCTCCTCCTGCCCCCAATCCCTCCCAGCATCAGGGTCTTTTCCAGTGAGTCAACTCTTCGCATGAGGTGGCCAAAGATTTGGAGTTTCAGCTTCAGCATCAGTCCTTCCAATGAACACCCAGGACTGACCTCCTTTAGGATGGATTGGTTGGATCTCCTTGCAGTCCAAGGGACTCTCCAGAGTCTTCTCCAACACCACAGTTCAAAAGCATCAGTTCTTCAGTGCTCAGCTTTCTTCACCTAGTATTCATTAAATGTTCATATTTCTATGAAAGTCCAATCAACTTTTTCTTACACTTTGTATGTTTAATTAGGATTCATATGACATCAATATGTTACAGTGTTACAACTAGTTGATATATTACTTGTGGTGTATAACATTTTCCTATACTTCTGTATTTTTTCCTGTTATTTATGAGAAGAAAATAACTGGATCATGTGTACTATAGAGTTTTCTATGCTCTAAGTTTAGCTGATTATGTCCCATCAGTTCAGTTCAGTTCAGGCCCTCAGTCATGTCCAACTCTTTGTGACCCCATGGACTGCAGGATGCCAGGCTTCCCTGTCCATCACCAACTCCCGGAGCTTGCTCAAACTCATATCTATCGAGTTGGACATCTCATTTTCTGTCGTCTCCTTCTACCCCTGCCTTCAATCTTTCCCAGCATCAGGGTCTTTTCCAATGACTCAGTTCTTCACATCAGGTAGCCAAAGTATTGGAGCTTCAGCTTCAGCATCAGTCCTTCCAATGAATATTCAGGACTGATTTCCTTTAGGATTGGCTGATTTCGTCTCCTTACAGTCCAAGGGACTCTCAACAGTCTTCTCCACAGTTCAAAAGCATCAGTGCTTCGGTGCTCAGCTTTCTTTATGGTCCAACTCTCACATCCATACACGACTACTGGAAAAACCATAGCTTTGACTAGACGGACCTTTGTTGGCAAAGTAGTGTCTCTGCTTTTTAATATGCTGTCTAGGTTCGTCATAGCTTTTCTTCCAAGAAGAAAGCGTCTTTTCATTTCGTGGCTGCAGTCACCATCTGCAGTGATTTTGGAGTCCAAGAAAATAAAATCTTGTCACTGTTTCCATTGTTTCCCTATCAATTTGCCATGGAGTGATGGGACCAGATGCCATGATCTTAGTTTTTCGAATGTTGAATTACAAGCCAGCTTTTTCATTCTCCTCTTTCATTGTCACCAAGAGGCTCTTCAGTTCCTCTTTCCTTTCTGCCATAAGGGTGGTGTCGTCTGCATATCTGAAGTTATTGATATTTCTGCCAGCAATCTTGATTCCAGCTTGTGCTTCATCCAGTCTGGCATTTTGCATGATGTACTCTGCATAGAAGATAAATAAGCAGGGTGACAATATACAGCCTTGACGTACTCCTTTCCCAATTTGGAACCAGTGCATTGTTCCATGTCCGGTTTTAACTGTTGCCTCTTGACCTGCATGAGCTTCCCTGGTGGCTCAGATGGTAAAGCATCTATCTGCTTGCAATACGGGAGACCCAGGTTCAATCCCTGGGTCAGGAAGATATCCTGGAGAAGGAAATGGCAACCCACTCCAGTATTCTTGCCTGGAAAATTCCATGGATGGAGAAGCCTGGTAGGCTGCAGTCCATGGAGTAACAAAGAGTTGGACATGACTGAGCGACTTCACTTTCACTTTCTTGATCTGCATACAGATTTCTCAGGAGGCAGGTAAGGTGGTCTGGTATTCCTATCTCTTTAAGATTATGTCCCATGATAGTATTTAATGTGTTCTTCCATCTCCTGTATTTCCTGTAAACTGATTGCTAAATCTAGGGTTTCATTGGCTATAGGTTCATTTTTCATTCGTGACAAGAATATATCATAGGTGGTGCTTGTGTACTTGTAAACTTCCTCTTGTATCTCATCAGGTGATGCTTGATGTCAGTTCTCTTTCTCTGTAATGTTAAAACGGACAAATATTCAACATTACTTATGAAGCATTCTTACCAAAAACTCAAACATGGATCTGATCCAGATTCTATAGCCAGCAATTATTTTTTAAAAACCCACTGATGCCAGAGGAACATGTCAAATAATAGCTCGTAGCCAAATCCAGAATATGGAAAACTCTAAAGAACAAGAGACCTAGTCTCTTCTATAAATAAACAAAAAATTAAGAAGAAGAGAGGGAAAGTGTTACAGACTGCAAGACAAATCAGTCAACTGGAATGACAGGCATCACCTGAATACCTTGCAAAGGAACTAGAGAGGGGGAAGTTATACAGTAAATGAGAATTAAGAGATACGTGCAACTTATTTGGAACCTGATTAGAAAAAAAATGTAAAAAAATTTTTTATGAAACAGTCAGGACAATTTAAACATTGACCAGATATTTTATGATATTAAGGATTTGCTGTTAATATTTTTTTCATTTATTTTTATTAGTTGGAGGCTAATTACTTTACAGTATTGTAGTGGGTTTTGTCATACATTGACATGAATTAGCCATGGATTTACATGTGTTCCCCATTCCGATCCCCCCTCCCACCTCCCTCTCCACCCGATCCCTCTGGGTCTTCCTAGTGCACCAGGTCCGAGCATCCAACCTGGGCTGGTGATCTGTTTCACCCTAGATAATATACATGTTTCGATGCTGTTCTCTTGAAACATCCCACCCTCGCCTTCTCCCACAGGGTCCAGAAGCC